AGATAAGGGGGCCACCGTCCCCCTAACTCTGTATAAAGGATCTTAGATATGGGAACATGAGACCCATGGGGGCTGTCTAGGGGGACTACCAGGATGACATGGTAGGAAGCCACCTCCCAGCCCCACACTACCTCGTACTCCATCCCTTCCAGGGGCCCCTGGGCTCGAGGAGAAGCCAGGGTTGTGGTAATGAGGTCCAGATGGCTTGGCGCCCCCGCCAGTAACGACAGAGGACCCCGCCCAAGGTGGGGAGGTGGGGCCCAGTCCTAAGACAGGCTTGGAGGATCACAGTCATCAAGGAGGGAGCATGTGTGCCCAAATCACAGGCCACCACTCTAAAATGCTACTGCCCCATTGAGCAGCCTGTCTTATGGCAGCCCCCTCAGGAAGAAGAGGGTCCCTTCCCCCCACTCCTTGGCCAGCTGGAGTTCATTACCAAAACATCCCCTGTCACCGCCCCCATTCTCGATGGTCACCTCTGGAATCCAGATGTGGAAGCCAAATAGATTCCTAGTTAAAGGAGCCCAGAAACTGGAGGGGAGTGGTGGGGGCCTCTGGGTGCCCTCGGAGGCAGGGGGCTATTTTGTGGGGAGGCTCTGCAGGCCATTATTGCTGCTGGTCCCTTTGCCCTGGAGGTATCCTAAGCAGCATGCCTTGGTTGGCAGGAGCTGAGGGTACTTGAATGCAGGGGTTAACTGAGTGTCTGGCAGCTGGACATGTGTGTGTCATGGTCCTGTAGGGGCCACAGAGAAGGCGGCACGCCCTGGAGTGAGAAAACAGGAAGGCCACTGGACTGCTGTGTCGGGGAGCAGCACCCACTCCAGGGCGCTTCCATGCCTGCCACCTCCCCTCCCAGCCTGGATGAGAGGGTACTTCCCTGGTGGTACATCCTACCGCGCCCGCCCCCCATACAAGTTTTTTTCAGAGGGTGTGGTCTAGCCCACTGTCAGTGATAGTATGCTCTGAGGCCCGCCCTTGACAACCAACGGCTTTTGACTGGCTTTTGACTCACCTCGTCATCCTTGTACCAGGACAGGTTCTCTGCAGTCAGCACAAACCAGTACTCCTTGGAGCCTCCTTTCATGATACCGATGTTGTTGATGGTCAGCCACCCCTTTCGAATAACCTGGAGCGGGCGGGGCGGGGGCAGGAGGTCAGTGGACAAGGACCAGGCTTCCCGGTGGAGGATGGGACGAGTGAAGAGGCATTCAAAAGCCCCCTCCCCACTTCTCTAGGGCCTGACTGGTCAGAGAAGGTGGGGGCCAGACCTGCCCAGGCTTGAACCACAAGTGGACAGAGTAGAAGACAGTAAAGCAAAAAGTCAGCTGGGGCTGGAGAGCTCCTAGCAGCCAGAGATGTGTGAGCCAAGGATGGGCCACTTTGATAGAGGGTGAGTTCCCCGTCGCTAAGTGTGTGCAAGCGGAGTTTGCTGTCTATTTGGGTAAGGCAACTCCAAGTGTCATTTGAGGGTCTGCTCTGACATATGTTTCTAACCTTGAGAACTCTGTGCTCACTGCACTTGCTTCCCCTCCCTTTTTTGCCTGGCATATACCTACTGGCCCTTTGATATCAGCTCAGATTTACATGGGGGGCCCTCCCTGGCCCCCATGTCAGTCATGAGCACAGTAATGACCTCTGATCAGTCTCCTCTGTTTGCTTCTGTAGCAGGGACTTGAATGTTAATCTCTCTCTCTCTCTTCCTCTCTCCCCCTCCCCCTCTATGTGTGGGGAAAGGAGGAAGAGGATATTATCCACTTATGCAAACTTCCCAGCTAATGCATGAATTTTCCTGTACCCCTTATCACCTTGCATAGCTCTGGGCAGTCAGGGACTGATGAAAAATGCTTTGGTACCATTAATAAATGAATAAATGAATAAATGACCACTGTGACAGTTCTGAGAGTCCCCAGGGCAGCAGGAAGAGGCAGAGCCACACATTGTCCAGGCCTGAACTTCCTACAAAAAGTTCAGAATAACCAGCAAGAACCCACTTTCATGGCAGCAAGCAGTCTATCCCCAGACATCACCACAGACTTTGGACACCACCATCAAGGGTAGGATGGGGCCCAGGCCCTGGTAGTAATTCTGACCGAGGAGGAAGGGCTTCCTTCTGTTCCCTCCCCAGCCCTGACCTCACTGGATGCTTCTCTGAGCATCCAGAGAGACCCATGAAGGCCTGGTGCTGGTAGCAAAGGCCTGGGGGCACAACTTGCTTGAGGTTTTCCTGACCCCCTCAGGCTTCAAGAACCTCACTGAGAATTTAAATCACACAATCTATCAATGTCTGAGCAGAGGGCAACACAACTGCTTTGGTCAGGGCTGGCCCAGGATCTGGCCAGCAGATCTTGCTACTCGGCTTCCTGTCCTACTTACAGCCTTTGTCCTCCTCGGCCACTCCCAACTCTACACTCTCCCCTGCTCACCTAGCTCTCCTAGGTCTAGAGTCCCTGAGCTAGAGGTTCTCTCAAAGGCCCAACTGGGGTCCTGTCCATAGGTCTGGGGATCCAAGGGGAGAGGGAAGGTTCTGGACTCCTGTCCAGGCACCACAGGCGCTGTCTGAGCTGAGTCTTTCTGAGATACAAATCTGTTACATCTTCATTCTTTGGCACCCACTGTACTCTAGGACCTGGGACCTGGGGCCAAAGATAACCAAGATCCAAGCCTGAATGGGAAACAGATATTTAACCAATCACAGACTTTGGAGACTATGTGGGAACTGCTGAGTATCCCAGAGGATCCCAGTGCTCGTGTATACAACTGAGGTCGAGCAAGGGCTACTGAGGAGTGCTGTTTCTGTAGATATTTGGAGCATGAAGCAGGAAGCCAGGTGGGGAGGGATGGGGCTGGTGATTTTTCTTCATCTCTTAACTCTCCATTGGAGGTCATTGTCAGCTTCTTTAAAATGTGCCTGTCTCGCCAGGCATTGGTGGCGCACACCTTTAATCCCAGCACTTGGGAGGCAGAGGCAGGTGGATCTCTGTGAGTTCGAGGCCAGCCTGGTCTACAGAGCCAGTTCCAGGACAGGCTCCAAAACTACAGAGAAACCCTGTCTGGAAAAAACAAAAAACAAACAAAAGCAAATGTGCCTGTCTCGTCTCCACTCACCCAAATATCCATCTCACAGACATTTAAAAAGCACCTACCTAGCACTGGGCCCACCCATCCCCACGCACTCTATCTCTGCCTGCAGCAGGTGCTTGTCTTGTGCATACTTATAGATGGGTGGATGGGACTGTGTGCATGGCTGGGCCTTCTCTGTCCTGTGAGCAGGCATGGAATTCACGTGCTGGTATGTACAAAGTACTCAAGCCGAAGGGTGCCCTCTGCCCACGTGCAGATCCCAATCACCAATGAGACTCCACCTCCCCTCACTGCACAAGTCAAGACCCCCAGTCCTGGTACTCACCAGAATCTCATCCTGCAAAGAGGTAACCATAGCAACCACGAGAAGCATTGGGGAGAGAGGAGAGAGGATTACTGAGGCAGAGTGGGAAGCTTGTGGCTGGCAGATGACAGACAGGCTTTCTGGCCCCCAGGGGATCCTTCCCCTTGGGAGGGAGGTTTCCTCAGAGCTCCAAGTCCACCTGGCACCCTCCATCCCTCGGACTGGGGCACTGGGGCCACTCACCTGGTTCCCTGAAGTCTTCTTCTTGTTCATCTGGTTGCTCCTCTGCTGAGCACTAGTGAGGGAGGAAGAGTCTCAAAACTCTCAAGAAGCCCAGTACCACTGCTCATGGGGCACAGGACTTAGAGGATTAAGCTGGCAGAACTGGAATCTACATACACACGTGTGCACATACACATGCATTTGTGCATGTATACAAACACAAGGGGCCACCCCACAGCCCTGGAGCACTCACTTGGCAAAGCCTATGAAGTCTTCGTGGTTGGTGTTCATGTAAGCCAGCTCAATATCGATGAGAAGCATGACCTTCAAGGGTCCACAAGTTGGTGAGCACATAGAAAAGATGCCACAAAGTTTAAGAATGCCTGACAAGCTAGGAGAGAGATACTTCCAGCACATTTAGAAGGTTAGCACCCATAATAAATAAAAAAGTCCCTATAGTCAATAACTGAAAGACAAAAGAAGCAGAGGTCAAAACAGCAAAAGAACACATATGGTATTTCATAGAAGACATGCTAACAGCCATTAAGAATATGGAAAAACTGAAACCCATTATTATATATAATTAATATATGCTAACAAAACCTTTTTAAAATCTGCAAAAAAGCCAGTTTTAATCCCAAAACTCAGGAGGCAGAGGCAGGCGGATCTATGAGTTCGAGGCCAGCCTGGTCAACAGAGCAAGTTCTAGTACAGCCAGGTCTCAAAAAACAAAACAAAAATCTGCAAAATTTGTTCACCCTTGTTCATAATGAGCTCTTAGTTAACACAATAATATCCTTCTTAACTCTGACAAATAATAAGTATTGATAAAGGGTCAGAATAGGCACATACATGCATAGGAAGATGAAACTGTAATTCTTTTCTTTTTGTATTTTGCAAATATTTATTGATTATTTTTATGTTGTATGTATGGAAGTTTTGTTTGCATTTGTCTATTGCACAATGTGCATGCAAAGCCCACAGAGGCCAGAAGAGGGCATCAGATTCCCCCTTGAACTAGAGTTACAGGTGGTTGTGAGCAGCCATGTCGTGCTGGGAACTGAACCCCGGTCCCCTCTAAGCAGTTAGTACTCTTCACTTCACTCTCCAGCCCCAGAATTGTAATTCTTATTTTAGTATTGCTAAGGTGAGGATGAAATACAGTTACCTACATAAGGGAGGTAAGAGATACCACTGATAGTAATTAGTGTCACTTTGTGGAGAACAATTTGGTAATTAACATTAAAATGAACACACACCTTTCTAGAATTATAGCTTAGATAAATTCATCAAACAATCAAAGATGTAGATGCCAGAATGTCTAAAGCATACAGTTTTCCTCTTTTGTTTGTTCTTTTTTATTTTCTTCTCCTCCTCCTTTCTCCTCCTCTTCTTCTTCTTCTCTGAGACAAGATATTGATGTTTGCTGCCTAGGTTAGACTTGAACTCCTAGATTTAAGTGCTCCTCATACCTCAGTCTTCCCAGTAGCAAGAGCAATAGGCCTGTGTCAAGTGTCAACATTCTTGGCTGTGGTATAATTTGTAATGGAAGAAAACTGGAAAATGAAATAGATTAGGGTGACCTGAGAATGAAAGACATTAGCTGGGTGGTGGTGGCACATGCCTTTAATCCCAGCACAAGAGGCAGGTGGATCTCTGTGAGTTCAAGGCCAGCCTGGTCTTCAGAGCAAGTTCCAGGTCAGCAAGGGCTACACAGAGAAACCCTGTTTCAGAAAACAAAAACAAAACCAAAAAAAAGAAAGACTCTTGATGTTCAAAAGCATAGGAAAATTCTAGGCTGTGATAGGGAACACACACACACACACACACACACACACACACACACACACAGAGAGAGAGAGAGAGAGAGAGAGAGAGAGAGAGAGAGAGCAGATTCTGAGGTGTGAAGGCATTTGTTCAAGTCTTTCTGTTTTTTATTGTGAGACAGGGTCTTACATAGCTCAGACTGGCTTCAAACTCCTATGTAGCCAAGGATGGCTTTGAATGCCCAATCCTCCTCCTTCCACCTCCTGAAAGCTAGGATTCCAGGCAAGTGCCACCATAATCAGCACTGACTCGTGATGAGAGTGGCTGCTGGGTCCAGCCCCAAGTCTGCTCCTTCCTGTGAGCCTGGAGCCTGTCCTTCCTGAGGCCCACATTCTGCAAAGGAAGCATTTCTGCCCACAAAGGACTAGTGAAGTCACATTAAGATGAAGTGAGTCACTTGCCCAGCATGTCAAAGACAGTCAGCGAATGTTAAGTAGTGCAATTATTGTCAAGGAAAAAGAACGAAAGAGAGAGAGAGAGAGAGAGAGAGAGAGAGAGAGAGGAGAAAGAAAAAAAGGCATGAGGGACAGCAAGAATATGATTCCTAGAGACAGAGGTGAAGCTGGGGGTGTAGCTCCAGTGACAGAGTCCTTGCCTAGCATGGAAGAAGTCCTGGCTTCAATCTTCAATCTCCAACACTACAAAAATTGGGCGTGGAGACTTATTCCTGCAATCTGAGTACTGGGGGAGGCAGGAGAGGCAGAAATGCACGTTTATTCTCTGTTACATAGTAAATTCAAAGCAACCTAGGCTGTATGTAGACACACACACACACACCCACACACACACACACACACACACACACACATAAACACCTTAAAGGGGGAGGGTTGAGGGAGAGATAAGAGAAGGTTGGAGGAAGAGATAAGGAGGGAGGAATGAAGGGGGGACGCTGGGCAGCAATACACAGAAGTGATTTTGTGGGAGGAGGTAATTCAGGTGCCTGAGAGCCATGTGTTGCCATGGTGTGTATGGAGGTCATAGCCTCGAGTGTCCTTCCTTACCTTCTACCTTGTTTGAGACAAGGCCTCTTGCTGTTTCCCATTGCATACACCAGGCTAGTTGGACTTTGGGCTCCACCCAAAGTGGAGGGAAGTTGTCAGGACAGGGTCCTTCTATGTAGTCCTGGCTGGAACTTGCTATGTAGACCAGCCTGGCCTCAAATTCAGAGAGACCTTCTGGCCTCTGCCTCCTAAGTGCTGGGATTAAAGCTGTGTGTGTCACCACATCCAGCTTCCTTCAGTCGCTTGGATTCCATCTTGCTGTGCATTGCCATGCCTGATTCCCATGGGTTCTGAGGATTCAAACGCAGGTCCTCACACTTGCATAGCACTCCCACTGAGTTCCAGCTTTGTTCTTTTGTTTTTGGCTTTTTGTTTGTTTTGAAACAGGGTCTGTGTATGTTGTCTAGGTTGGCTTCAAATTTTTGATCTTCCTGCCTCACCTTCCAGGAATCTGGGATTATAGTTGTTTATAAAGGCATCTGGCATAATAAGGATCTAAAAACATGCAGGCATATCTCAGTGAGTTTGAGGCCAGCCTGGCCTACTTAGTGAGTTCCAGGCCAGCTACATAATGAGACCCTCTTTTGAGCCTCAGGAGGTTCAGAACAGGCCAGAATATCTCTGCTCTTCCAGGCCCAAAGATAACATCTGGAATCTAAGTTTGTGAATGAATGAATGAATATTTCATAAATGGAGCAGAGTTGCAAAAGGAGCAGAGTCTGTTAGGAGTATAAGGTTAGCTAGAGACATAACAAACAGAGAAAGGCCTCCAGGGAGATGGCCGGACAGACTGCCAGAAAGCCAAGGAAGCTGGACAGACTAAGAAAAGGGAGGAGATGAGATCTGGGTGCAGTGCTGCATTCCTGTAATCCAAGCACTCCAGAGGATGAGGCAGGAGGATCATGGGTTTGTGGCCAGCCTGGGCTACATAGTGAGATTCCAGTTAGGGGGTGAAGGGCAGATGGGAAGGAAGAAAGGAAAGAAAAGGATGTGGACGTGTGTGATCAGTACGGTGGCTCCTCAAATAACCAAACAAACGGGACTTGGAGTGTGTACATTTGGCATGTGCTTGGCCCTACCTTTAATTCCCAGGGCCACTACTAAAAATACGGGTGGTGCTGTTACCCTATGATCCATCAACCCCACTTCTGAGTGTGAACCCCAAAGAATGGCAAACCCCACCTGAGTATCTGTACAGCCATATGTATTCACAGGATTATACACAACAGCCAAATGGCGGCAGAGAGAGGCTGAGAGATGGTTCAGTGATTAACAGCACTGACTGCTCTTCCAGAGGACCCTGGTTCAGTTCCCAGCACCCACAATGCAGCTCATAACCACCTGTAACTCTAGTCCTCGTGGGCACCCGGCACAAAAATGATGCACAGACATAAACACAGGCTAAACACCCACCCAAGACACTTTTTAAAGGTGGAAAAGACTTCAATGGATAAATAAAAGTGTAGTGTATAGTCCACAGAATGTTATTCAAGTATTTAAAAAGGAATATTCTGGTAGCTGCTACAGTATTTTGGATAAACCTTGAAGGCATTAGGCTATGTGAAACAGCCAGACACCAAAGGATTGAAATACTGTATGATTTTACTTACCATGGGAACACAGATAAATTCATAGAGACAGAAGGGAAGGTGTCTGTCAGGCTGGGAGGGGACTGTTTATGACAAGAACAAAGTCAGCTTTTCAAGATTCAAAGCCTTCTGTGGCAATGGTACCATGATGTCAAGGTACTTGATATCACTGAACCGTGCCCTTCAAAAATGGCTAAAGCCATCCACTTTGCATTAACTGTATCATCCCATAAGAAAACAGACAGAAAGAATAAGAAAGTTATTTCGGAAAGATGAAGGGAGATGGAGACTGTGGCCTCTCACCTGCTCCTTGGTGCGGCCCTCACGTTCCCGGATGTGAGTGGTCACAATACGTTCCATCTCCTCCCGAAGACGTGGGTATTGCTGGAGCTGGAGAAGGGCAGGAGGAGAGAGAGCCACGTACACACAGGGCCTGGGCATCAGACACCCAAACCCCACCTGAGTGCAGGGACCCAGGGGTGTGGGGTGGGAGATATACGTGGGAATGCCAGCCAGGCCAAGAAGAGAGCCCTGGAGCCCCAGGAGGCTGCTGGCACCAAGCTACGGCCTTTCCTTCCACCCAAGTGTGGGTTCTAGATGGCAATTTAAGTGTCTTTCTGGTTCCAGGATCATCTTTACTGGCCCACTTGGGCAATTTCAGTGGGCAAGGGGCAGTCTCCATGGGGAGAACTACAGAAAGAGCTGGCTGTGGTGGCCGCCATCTTGAAGTGGCTATCTTGAAGACAGAACTGACAGATGGAGGCCTTTGTGGCATCCTTAGTTTCCAAGGCTTTCACTGACCCTCCGGGAGACCCCTTGCCTTCCTAAAGGCTTTAAGTGACAGCCAGGTGAGGAATCAGGCAAGAAGCAGCCTCCAAAGACTATCAAGGAGAAACTGGGAAGGGGAGAGCCCATGGTGCCAGTCAGCCTCCAGAGTCAGGCCGGGGACAGGTAGTGGTCCTTGTCAGAACTGGGGAGGGAGCAGTTACAGGAGGAAAACAGCAGTCACACAGAGGACATGCAGAAGCTACCTGGCACAGGCATGCAAGAACACAGGGGACATGCAGAGATAGTGTGTCAGCAGCATGAGCAGTACCCCGTGGGGGCCTGGCTGGGCCCTGGGACCACTTGGTAACACCAACCCAGTCCTGTCTCCCTTAGCATTTCTTTCTCTCTCTGCTACCATCATCTCAAACTACATCTGCCCGGTCTGAGACTAAGCAGACCCAGTAGGGCCTGCTGTACTCTGCATAGCCAAGGATGACCCCGAAGTCCTAGGAACCCTGCCCTCAGCCCAGGCAGGTTCTGAACAAAGCCCAGATGACTTATTCTGCTCTAACTTCTCGTAGACTTCACCTCTTTCTGAAAGCCTGCCCAGATTGAGGACTAAGAGTTGAGTCGGGGCCTCCCTGTGCTACCTGGCCTCTTTCATCTATCTGGGTAGTAATTGTCCCCCAGCGCTGTGGCAGTGCTGGGCGCCACCTGTGCACAGAGAGGGCATGTCGGAGGAATGAGGAAATGAATGGAAGATGAATGTCTTTGCCCTCCTTGCCGGGTGAGCAGGCAGAGCCTCCCCAGGGCTTTTCAAGGAGCTCTGAAGATGGAGCCCACCCACCAAGACCATCTTCCCCACAGGAAGCTTGGACAGTTCCTGGTCCCATTTTTCACCCTGCGCTGGGTCAAGACGCTTAGGTGGATCCTTGTGGGAAGATATCCATGCACTCTGTGCCTGATTCTTCGGGCGATACGAAGGCCAAGAGGGACTGCCAGGGTGGACGGACAGGAGGACAGGGACAGAGACAGGAGCTCCAGGAAAGGCTGACCTGGGAGTAGTCCACATTCAGCCTTCCCATGGCTGTGCCAAGGGTTCAGCAGTGACAGCCTAGCACAAGGGCTGAGACCTTGCTGGAGGACCGGCCTGAGACCTGGGACTTAGAAATGCTGGCTGGAAGGGGTCTGCTGCCCTGTGTGGTTCTCTGTATGTAGCCTCTGAGTCTGGGCAGAGATTTGGGATTGAGTCACAGTCACCAGACCTTTGAGTTGGTCGACCGACACAGCTTCCCAGGGCAGGGGTGGGGGTGGGGCTGGGAAGGATGGAGCAATTTGCCAAAAAAGCATGGCCAGCTCCCTGCTAAGCGCCTGGATCTACATTTCTCAAGTTTTCCACATGTCCCATACAGACAGGGAGGCCTCAGGCCCCTCAAGAGGTTCTGTTCCTTCCAGCATCTTTTTCCATTCTGGCTGCCTCGGAGCTCTGCCAGGGCTTTTACCAATTTTTAAAATGGGTCCTTGGGTCTTTCTCTGGGTCCTTGGCTGATTACAGTAGCCAGCCTGGATCCCATTGGTTTGGGGGTCAGGGATGAAGTTCCTGAAGCCACAAAGGCTTGGTTTAAAGCCAAGCCCTGGCTGCTAACCGCCAAGCTCCCCTTCAAGTGTCAAGTCTGGTGTTTCCCTTCTTACCCTATGCCTAACATCAAACTCTCAGCTGTGTCCACAGATGAAAAAAGAAAAATCTAACCCCAGCAGGGCTAGAAGAAACACCAAACTTCTGTCAGGAGTAGCTTAGAAAACACAGGTATTAAAACAAAACAAAAGCTGGGAGGCGGTGGTGCACGCCTTTAATCCCAGCACTTGGGAAGCAGAAGCAGATGGATCTCAGTGAGTTCGAAGCCAGCCTGGTCTACAGAGTGAGTGCTAGGACAGCCAAGACTGTTACACAGAGAAAACCTGTCTCAAAACAAACAAACAAAAACCAACAACAACAAAAAGAAAAACCAAGAAGAAAAGGAAAAGGAAAATGACTGCTGAAGTTACATGGCAAAAGTATGGCTCTCCCCTAAGATAACTGCTCTCTGTGAAGCAAGCTCCCTGTTCACAGGGACCGGCTCAATAACCATGAAAAGATTTAATGTGAACTAGAAACAGCGCTATGTTCCTTTCTCTCTTTCAAAGCAGTGGTTCGCCTTGGGTAAATGTGACTTTGGAGTCTTAGTGTTCAATGCTTACTAATTTCCCCTCAAAATGCTACATACATTCTTTCCCGCAACACGTTTTCCACGATCCCTTCACATCATAGAGGGACATATGAACAGAAGCACACAGCCTGCCTTGCCGCTCTTCTTTTGAAACAAGGTCTCATGTAGCCCAGGCTGGCCTCTTACTATGTAGCAGAGGATGACCTTGACCTCATGATCCTCCTGCCTCTACTCCAGAGTGCTGGATTGCAGGTGTGGGCAACCTTTCAACAGTGCAGTTTTCCACTGTAGCTGCATTGCTTTGCTATTGATTGCCTCTGGACGGGCATGTGGATTGCTTTCAGAGTTTTATCATTCACAATTACTGCTCCCCTTAGGGATGCATCTCAGCAAAGCATTCTACAGCTTTGGAGTGTTTGTATCTAGCTACCTGTCTTCTAGGAATCTAATCCTAAGGAGGGCATTCAAGAGAAAGAAGCATACGGGACCTTCACACACAAAGGCGATCACTGCCAGGCTATTTCTTTGTGAGCGTGCACCTTAACGTGTGCACGCTAATGTGGCAGGCAGAAGTCAGTGCTGGGTGCCTCCCCAGCCCCTTCTCCACCCTATATTTGAGATGGAATCTCTACCTAAGCCTGGAGCCACAATTTGGCTTGTGGGCTGGCAGGCTCCCAGGATCTGTCAGTCTGCCTTCCCAGCCCCGGGGCCCAGGCACGTTGATGCATCTGGCTTTCCACAATGGCACTGGGGATCCGAACCCAGGCCTTCCTGCTTGTGTGGCAAACGCTTTACCAACTGAACCAACCCCCAACTCCTGTTTCTTTATGGCATTTAGAGATAGAGATTAAATGTTCAACAATGGGATAATGGTTAGGCAAAGTCATGTAATGGCCTCTTGTGTCACCATTAAAAAATGTTTTTATAGAGCCCAGAGGTAGGCACGCCTTTAATCCCTGCACTCCAGAGACAGAGGCAGAGGCAGGTGGATCTCTGAATTTGAGGCCAGCCTGGTCTACAGAGTGAGTTCCAATACACCCAGGGCTACACAAAGAAATCCTGTCTCAAAAACAAAAATGTTTCTATAGGCTATGTAACAATTCCACCCAGAGTAGGTAGAATGAGAAAAGCAATATATGGGCCCGGTGTCAGCATGGTTAAGCGAACAAGCCAATTATGTTGCAGAAATAGGAAAGTTATTTTATTGTATTGATGATGTGTGTGCATGATGTGTGTATGGTCACAAATGCACAGTGAGTGCTTTACCCACTGAGCCATCTGGCCAGCCCATAAATACAGAAGTTTTTAAGGTAGATGTGGTGGCTTGTGCCTTTAATACTAGGGCTCAGGAGGCTGAGACAGGAGGACTGCCATGGAGTCCAGGACCAGAAAGTGAGGTTACATCTCAAAAAAGGGAGGAGGGGCAAAAGGGCTGGAGAACGTAAGGACAGAGACCAAAATAACAACAACGAAAAAACAATAAGTGCCCATCGGTAGGATTCTGGGTACACAGACCTGGCACCCTTTCTGCCATGAATTGAGCCCAAGAGACAGGGCCTGGAGACACAGGGACTCCATAGCACAGGGCTCAGAGAAAAGAGGTGGATGATGCCTCACAGAACCTCGAAGTGAAGGCAGGTGTGTGCTCTACACATACACCTCAGCTCAAGGGACATTTCAGATCCACAAAAGGCTCAACTCACTCCTGAGCCTGGGTCAGCTCACTGTTGGGGGCAGGGACAGCATGGGAATTCTGGCAAGGTTTCCACCGCCAATGGGAGCTGAAAACAAGCACTACTTTGGACAACTTGGCTAGACATCATCAAGATGGCCAAAAGTGGACAGATGCATTGAGCCGGGCTGTGGTGGCACACACCTTTAATCCCAGTACTCAGGAGGCAGAGCCAGGAGGATCTCTGTGAGTTTGAGACCACCCTGGTCTACAAGAGCTAGTTCCAGGACAGCCTCCAAAGCCACAGAGAAACAACCCTGTCTCAAATTAAAAAAATAAAATAAAAAATAAAAAATAAAAGAAAGGAAAGAAAGAAAGAAAGAAAAAAAGTAAGAAAGGTTACAGACAACTCAAAAGAGGCTCCTATTCTGACTCATACAGACTGCACCAAGCAATCCAATACATTTTAGGGCAGATTGGTTTGGTTTTAAGGTCCTAGGATGGTTCTCCTGTCCCCAGAGGCCCTGACCCTGAGCCCTCTTCCTAAGTCTAAGTGCCCCTTTGTTTTTCCTGAGACCTGTATGGTCACCTGTAAAGACCATGATGGTATCTTCTTCTTAGCGTTGTTAAGAGAACTAAATCAGATGGTAAGTGCCAGCGCTCAGCCCACTGAAGCACAGAGTAGCTAGCTGTTCAATAAGCAGCCATCATCACCTGTCATCACTGTAGTTGTCATTGTTCAATCAATCATCCTTACCAATGGAAAGGAGAAATGTGGGGTAGGATATAGCCCTTCTGTCAGGGACAAGGGTCTGATAGGATCCTGAGTGAAAGGAGTCCAGGGCTTATAAGATGGCAGGAAGTCTCAGGCCAAGGATTGCCTGCCCTGAATGGGTGCCTGGGTCCCAATGGGGAGCCAAGAGGCCATCACATCTGCTAGGCAGATGGTTCTGCCCTGGGAAGCCATAGCCACCGGGAAGGGGTGACGGCCAGGCCCAGCCCCTCCCAGGCGGCCGCCATACCTTTTCGCTACACTTTCTGATGGTGGACGTGAGTTCACTGACTACCATGTCCACACACTTGATACTGGGCTCTTTAAGCTTCTGCACCTGCTTTTTCACTGTGGCTTCAAAAGCGAGGTCAGGTGTGAAGAGGCCCGTCCTGCACCCGAGGAGGAGGAGGAAGAGGAGGAGAAGGAGGAGGAGGAGGAGGAGGGGCCAGGGAGGGGAGCAGCCAGATGGGCAGAGGGGAAAAGGATGGGAGTGAAAGCCAAGCGGCCGGGCTCAAGGGTGGGTGAGGATGGCACAGGCATGGGGGAAAGAGAGAGACACCAACAAAGAGAAAGAGAGAGAACAGAAGACAACATGAGCGTGGGACCCTGCCCCCCCACCTCTCCCAGGGTTGCACCTGCCAGGTGCTGCCAAGCACCCCCTCCCTCAGGGCTCTGGGGTTATGGCCAGAGGTGTCAGGGACCAAACCCCTGTTCTGAGAGAGCCTTCCAGGGTTCAGATCCTCTATCCCAGGGATGCCCCCTAGAAATCACACTCAACAGCACCAGGCCTGCCTGCTCTTCTCCGGTGCCACTTTTGTCTGTGCCCTTGGGTCCTCCTAAGGGCCTGACCCAGACCAGGACCAAGCCACAATCCTGTCCAAATCTAGGCTTTTGGGTGTTCCTTTTTGCTTCAGCCTGACTCAAAAGCCCAGCCCCATCACTACCTCTGCTAGGCTGTGCTGTGTGTAACTGCCCAGGCCGTGCTCTCTCCGCTCGCTTGCACAGTCTAATGCAGGCGAAGCCACCTGGAGCTTCCGTGTAGCAGCATGACCCTCCTTGCCTACCCCTGCTCCTCCTTCCTCCTTAAGGGGCACCCCTCTGGCTCCTCACAGGTGTGTGGGAACTTGTAGGACAGACAGCGAGAGAAGAGGAAAGACAGAAAGAGGAGGGTGATGGTTGAGAGAGGCCAAGGCAGCAGTGGGGGAAGGGAGGCCTGGGGTGGAATCAATGAGCACTGGACTTAGAGTCCACAGCCTCGGCTTCCAGTAACAGCTCTCCCGCTTTTTGGGAGATAGACCCTGGGTAAGTTACTCGGTGTCCTGAGCTCAGTTCCCCCGCTGTGGAAAATGAGCAGCGTCCTCCCAGCCCTCCCTTTCTGGGCAGTTCTATGAGGCTGGCAGCTTGGCAGGAGATAGCTCTATCCCTGGAAAGCTGAGTGTGGAAGGGAGGGGATGGGGTGAGTACCTGAATGACAATCCCTAAAGCAGAGTGGAAGGATGGAGAGATGAAAGACAACGGGGAGACACGGCCCCCCCCCGCCAGTCCTGGGCCCTCTACACTGTTCTGGCTGCTCAGGTTCCCGTAAAGCACCCCAGGATGTCCTGTCCCTCACATGTCCCCAGGCTGAGGCTTCCCCAAGACCCGCCTAGGGCTTTGGAAGGTTACTCCACTTCCGTGGGTAAGGCAGAGGCCAGGGTTCCCTCAAACACCATTGTTCTAGGCCAGGGGAGATCTCTTAGTGTCCAATTCTTTGATTCCCCAGGTTTGGGGATCAGGGTGTGGGTGAGCCCCCTCAGAGAGCTCCCCTGTCCAGGTCCATCATGATTGCCTTGCCTTTCCCACCCCTCTGAGGCCTGTGCATGCTACCGAGGAGGCAGTGGAGATGTGGGGAAGGAGCGCCTGGCTGAGCAGTGCAGGGAGGGACAGAGGTGGGGCTGATGGGGGCTGGCCAAGGGCTGCCTGTTACCTTCTTGGTGCACTGTCTAACCGTGCTGATTAGTTCCGAGATAACCATGTCCACACACTTGAGACACGGTTCTCGAATCTTCTTCACCTGCTTTTTCACAATGGTTTCAAAGGCCATGTCTGGGGTAAACAGCCCCGTTCTGAACGCCCGGAGCAGGAGAAGGGCACAGTGTCACAGGCTGGCACTTGCCAGGAGTGCCAGGCCAGGGTCCCTCTCCAGCCCCTTAGCTGTGTCTGGGGGAGAAGTCTTCCCACTACCCCCTCTGAGTATCACATCTAGTCAGTGTGTGTGTGTGGTGGTGGTGGTGGGGGACTAAGGAGAGGCTTCTATCAGTGATCCTTGGGCCAGACAGCTCTGTCTCTTCTGTAGCCACTTTGCTTCATCTTAAGTGTTTCTGTAAAAGGTTCTATAGCCTCAAACTGTTTGGAAATTGCTAAACTGAGGCCTCTTAAGAGCCATCCTGAGAAATGAGTTTTTGTTATTAAGACTAGACCAGGTCGTCTGTTTTGGCCAAATGCAGCTATCAAAATGTAGATTTCATGCCGAGAGAGACAAAGCATGGAGCATACAGGAGTACAGGGTGCTTCTGTCTTGTTCACAGAGGTGTCACGTGAGCATGGTGCCATTCAGGATCTGGGTCCTTGAGGGGTGTCTAAGGGTCTATTTCCCAGGCGTCTTTTTGACACCAAAGGGTGGCTTAGAAGGGATGTGGGTAGCAGGAGTGAGGTTGGGCTAGTGGGACACTGGGAGCATCCAGCATGCTGAAAACCACCCTCACACAAGGATTTAGAATGATATCTGGGTGCTATGACCCAGACCCTACCCAGTGACCCTACCCTTTGTTCATCTACCTAGGTAGGTGACACTAGGCAGAGTTGTCACACACTCTATAGAGTGCTTCCCTGGCCACCTGTGCCCTGTGCCTCCAGGCCATACTCCCAGGGATTGCCAAGGAGGCCAGTGGGTTATAGGCTATGGGTATCTCAGGCTTCCCAGCCATCTCCCTTAGCTGGAGTCTGTTGAGCTGGGAACCAGAAAGTTGGAGCTAAGGGATTGAAGACCAGGACCCTCAGGTCCATCCTGAAGGAGTCTCCTGTAAGCCCAGTGCCCCTTGCCTAACAGTGTGCAGACCCCACCCTGGTCCCAGTACATGCCTGATCCCATGAATGTTCTTGATGGCATAGCTGATCTCCCTTCGGAGTTCCTTCTCATCAAACTCCATCTGTGGTGGACAGACAGAAGACTGGTTAGGGCCAGCCCTGCCACAGGAGGTAGAGATAGGGCCCACCCTCCTGCCTGGGATTGCAATGCCCTACCTTAACCAGCTCAAAAGGAAAGCGTTCATGGAAGATCCGGTTAATGCGTGCTCCACCTGACAGCTCATAGGTGTCAATCTGGTCTCCGGAACCTTCAATGCGTTTCTCGAAGTCCACTGCAAACTGCTGGACCATCCTGTGTGGGAGAGGGGCGTGGCCTGAGAAGACTTGGTGGGAGCCCTGGGCCCTGGAGGGTGGCAGGGGCTGTAGCAGTTAGCCCTGGAGACCGGGGCCAGAAGTCTTACTGCAGCAAGGCCTTGGTCTTGCGAGCTGGGTCATCGGGTCGGAAGTTCTTGTACTCTTCCACCTCCTTCTCAATGGACAGCAGCTGGCTCTGCAGTTTGTTCCGAAGCCCCGGCAGTGTGTCCCGGATGTGATTGGTCAGTTGCTAGGCGTGGTGGGTAAGGAAAAGGTTAAAACCAAGCTCACAGCCCTAGATGCCCACAGGGTCGGGCAGGGGAAGTGATGTTGGAGGCTGTGTGGATACAGTGAGGCACAGAGCTGGGCAGCACCAGGGCAGAGGCTGTAGAGCAGTGGCTCCCAACCTTCCTGATGCTGCAACCCTCTAATACAGGTCCTCATGGGGTTACCCCAACCATAACATTATTTTTGTTGCTACTTTAGGACTGTATTTTTTAAAAAAAGATGTTATTTATGCCGAGTGTTGGTGGCACACGTCTTTAATCCCAGCACTTGGGAGGCAGAGGCAGGTGGATCTCTGTGAGTTCGAGGCCTGTGTGGTCTACAGAGATCGAGTTCCAAGACATCCTCCAAAACAATGCAGAGAAACCCTGTCTCAAAACAAACAAAAAAGCTATTTTATATACAAGTCCTCTACATGTACACCTACACACCAGAAGAGGGCATTAGATCCTATCATAGATGTGTGGGTGCTGGGAATTGAACTCAGAACCTCTGAAAGGGCAGTCAGTGCTCTTAACCTCCAAGCCATCCCTCCAGTCCCTGGGTCAACCGAGAGAACCAAGATGTCCAGGTGAATACATTCCAGTCCCCACTAGTCAGTACCACCATCCACACAAAATCTTGGTCTTTTATACATGCTGGGAGTCCCAGGGCTCCCCTTCCAGGCCCCAGACAGGAAAAGTCAGCAGAATTCTTGTCACTAACTCCCAGTGGGACTGAGACTGAGGAAGCCTCCTTTCTCTGGGTCTCAGTTTGTCGAATCAGTGGATGCTAATCAGCACTGGTCACCCTTAAGATGCACTGAGAAAGCAGGCAGGGGAGACGGCTCAGTAGCCAAGAGCATCCACACAGCAGCTCACAACCATCTGCAACTCCAGTTCCAGGGGACCTGATGCTCTCTTCTGATTTCCCTGAGCTCCAGACAAAACACCCATACATATGAAATAAAATGCTTAAAACACACACACACACACACACACACACACACACACACACACACCAGCAAACAAGAAAAGATGCACTTGAGATTATTCTCATTTCCCTGGGCCCTGGCCAGGCCTGCTCCCCTACCTGGTTGAGGACCTTCTGCAGGTAGGGTGTACCCATGCGGTCGGCCAAGTGGCGGTAGGACGGGTGAGAGAGGAAGAATTTGCGTTCGGCAGCCAAGGCGGCTGTGATGTCCTTCTTGCCATCGATGTCCTTCTGGCTGCGGTTCACCACACCAATGTAGCCTGTGGAACAGGGCCAAGGTCAGAGGCAGGCAGCCTCCAGGGAAGGCGGATGAGGGAGAGAGAGGCTGAGCAGTTTCTGCCTACCTCTGCGCAGAGGGAGCAGCTTATTCTCCAGCACATCCCGAGCATCTGTGCCCTCATCCATCAGATCCAACTTGGTGATGACCCCAATGGTGCGTTGACCTGGAGAGTGGCCATGGAGGACTGTCACACACACAGCAGTCCTCACTAGGAAGACTTCATGCATTCTCAAACCCTCCACACCATTCCTCTCCCCCTCTCTCCACTCCCCTACCCACTGATCCAAAGTGGCCAAAATGATTTTTTGCTGATGCAATTTCTCTTTTTTAATTATTTGTTTTATGTGTATGTGAGTTTTGTCTACATATATGTTTGTGTGCCATGTGTGTGCCTGGTGCCTGCAGAGGCCAGAAGAGGGTGTCATATCCTTTAGAACTGGAATCACAGATGGTTGTGAGCTGCCATGTGGGTGCTGGGAACTGAACTGAGGTCCTCTGGATGATCAGTCAGTGCTCTTAACCACTGAGCCATCTCTCCAGCCCTGTGTTGATGCCATTTCTTTGAGAGAGGATCTGACTATGAAACTCAAGCTGGCTTCAGACTTGATATATGCTGGGGCTGGAGAGATGGCTCAGTGGTTAAGAGCACTTGCTGATCTTCCAGAGGACTCTAGTTCAGTTCTCAGCACCCACAAGGCCGTTCACAACTGTCCATAACAGTTCCAAGGGATCTGAGGTCCTCTTCTGGCCTCTGTGGGCACTGCATGCAGGTGATGCACAGACATCATGCCAGCAAAACATTCATACTAATAAAATAATTTTAAATCTAATGTAGCCAGCAGTGGTGGCACAGCCTTCAAGCCCAGCACTCCATTCAGGTGGTAAAGGCGGGAGGATCTCTGTGAGTTCAATACCAGCCTGGTCTACAGAGCTAGTTCTAGGACAGGACAAACAACACTACACAAAGAAACCCTGCCTTGAAAAACAAACAAAACAATTTTTTTATCTATATAATCTCCCCTTACGCTGCCCTATAAGATCTCTATGCAGTGGCTTTTCGTCATCTTTCTAGCCATCCGCCATGGTGGATGGATGAAAGGCCCTAGCCAGAACTCACAGCCTTCATGCCCCCACCTCTAGAGAGATGGGAGCCTGATTGTTCACTGCCGCACTGAGTGCCAAATCATGATTTAGTTTTTATTTGTTTGTTTTTGTTTTTTTGAGACAGGTTTCTCTGTGTAGTCCTGGCTGTTCTACAACTCGTCTGTAGATCAGGCTGGCTTTGAACTCAGAGATCCACCTGTCTCTGCCTCCTGAGTGCTGGGATTAAAGGTGTGTGCTGCCACTGCCTGGATAAAATGATGTTTTAACTACACTATGTCACTCTGACACTCCCCTTACGCTGCCCTATAAGATCTCTATGCAGTGGCTTTTCGTCATCTTTCTAGCCATCCGCCATGGTGGATGGATGAAAGGCCCGAACTAACATGGGGTTAGCTCATTAAACAACTGCAATAAAACCTCTTGCTATTTCCTTAAAACAAAACAAAACAAACAAAAAAAAAAAACCACTGCACCATGCTAGGTAAGAACCTTATATCCCCAACCTGGCAAAAAATGTTTCTATGGGGTGGAGCTTTTAAAATTCACTTGTGTTTATTTACTTATGTATATGTGTGGGTGTGCCACCACACACATGTGGAGGTCAGACGACAACATGCAGGGATCAGTTCTTCCCTTCCTCTACATGGGTTCCTGGGACAGAACTCAGGTGCAGCAAGCACCTTTCCCCCACGGAGCCACCTTGAAGGCCCTTTTCTTTTAGCTTTTTGAGACTGAATCTCATGTAACCCAGGCTGTCCTCAAACTAGTCCTGTAGCTAGTGCTAGCCTCTCTTCCTGGGCCTTCCACGAGCTAGGCCTGAGAGGAGCTCCACTCAGAACCACCCGTTAGTTCTGATCCCGACACTTTTCTACTTAGACCATTCTGAGATACTCTTAAATTAACCCTATATTACTGCCGAGAGTCAGCCGCCAGGTAGGAACCTACCCTGGGGGTCCACCTCCTTGGCGATCTTGAGGGCATCGGAGTTGGCCAGGTCCGAGTTGGCAGGAGACACAGCCAGGATAAGACAGTTCTCCTTGGTGACGAACTGCATAAGCATGTCGCGGATCTGGAACTCGATGTCAGGAGGTTGGTCCCCCACTGGGACCTTGGTCATTCCAGGCAGGTCCACCAGAGTCAGGTTCAGCACTGGACAGAGAGGCAAAAGGGACGGGCCCACGGTGGGGGCGTGGTCAGATGGGCGGAGTTAAATAACAGGGGTCCAGCTTGAAAAGTAACTATGGTGAGCGGGGTCCGAAGTGGAAGGGGTTAAGCAGGTAGGGCTTGGGGTAAGTGAACTTGGAGGAACCGTCCCCCACCTCCCAGCGCGCAACTGTGGGGCCCAGGGAATTGACCCAGGGGGCGTGGCTAGGCAAAGAAGCCAGAAGGAGGGGGGCAGGGCCATGTTCCTCAGCGTGGGGCGAGTAGACTCGCAGGTTGATGGGCACGGGTGAAATGCCCTTGTTGGTGCCGGTGACCCGGTCGGTCTCAGCCTCGATCTCCAGGCGTACCTCCTCGAAGTCGGTGAATTTCTTTCCCTTGCAGTGCAGAAACTCCAGACATTCTGCTCCAGAAACGGGCAGGGGAAGGAGAGGAGGAATCAGACCTGGGAAACCCACCTGGGTGGCATTGGTCTTCCTTAATCTACCCTTTACCTCCAAATACAGTGATCCTTGCTTCCATTTTACAGTGTTTTTTTTTTAAACAAAATATTTAATTTAATGTGCACTGGTGTTTCGTCTGCATGAGGGTGTTGAATCCCTTGGAACTGTAGTTACAGAGTGGGTGCTGGGAATTGAACCCGGGACCTCTGGAAGAGCAGCCACTGTTCTTAACCGCTGAGCCTAGTGCCTCCATTTTACAGTTTTATACCCACTGTCTAGATTGGGATCGGCCCAAGAAAGGGAGGATGATCTTGTCTAAAGTCATTCCACAAATACTTCAGTAGCTAGGGCTGGACTTCATCTTAGGGAGGGGCCACACCTGACTGCTGATGAGGGATACCCACCTGTGGTGGAATTAACCAGTTGCAGAACCAGGGGACGTCGGGTGACGATGCCAGATCCTCGGGGCAAGAAGTCTCTGCAATGAGTTGGGGATTAGAAGAGGGTCAAGATCTGTGGGCAGCTGCCTTCCCCCAGGGAGTACTTGTTCTGCTATTAGGAGACACAAATCCCCTCAAAGGGCTGGCCCCACAGTATCTTACTGACAGCATTGTCACTAAAAGGTGTGGGCTCCCCCAAGTCATTGCTTCAAGTAGACAAGAGGCTAGACCAGCAACTCCCCAGATGTCCCTCAAATATATACTATGTTGGATCCGAGCCAATAGGAAGTCCCTGCTCCCATCCCAGCCACTGTTAGTCTGCTCAGGGAAAAAATGAAGCACAGGGTAGCCCAAATGACTGGTGACCAGTCGGACTGATCTCAGCAAAACCAGAGCAGAGCCGCTCTCTTCCCTGCCCCTCTGGGGCAAACAGTGGCTCAGTTCCTCTTCCCCAGGCCCCATCTGGCTAGAGTTGAAGACAAGGCAGGTGCAGCCTGGAGGAGGCAAGGAACAGAACTTGGACTTCTTCGGTGCCTATTGCATGCCAGCTGCTTTGTGGGCAGAAGCTCATGAGCTCCAGAAAATGGCCCTGGGAGGAGGACGCAGTTACTGTTCCCACTTTATGGATGGAAAAACAGCCTCAGAGATGTTCCGGTATCATGATACAGGAGAGGAGAGCCTGGGCTCAACTCTGTGAAAGCTCTCCATCTCTGTGAAAGCCCCATGGACTCAGCCCCCTTTGAAGGACATCACACAGGGCCCCCAAAGTGTCATTTGTGTCCCGGGACCTGACAGTTTATACCCAACATCTGCTACCACTGGTGCTTACTTCAGCTGTCCTTCTGGCTAATTCTGTCTGTCAGCTAGTCTCGATTCCCCGACCCATGACTCTTCCACAGGCTGGCTGGAGGGTGGAGTTCTCTCCAGGAACCAGGCCACCAGAAGTAGCAGCTCTCAAGTCCCAGAACCCAGGAAATGGGAAGCAAATCAAAACCTGGGGGCCGTACTCATCCAGCCAGTCACTCCGTGGAAGAGATCCAGCCCAGTGCTGACCCAGGCTCAGGGGCAAAGGGTCAGGGAGAACAAGCAGGCCCCAGGGGCCTCAGGTTCAAGCCTCCCTCTTAGGGTCCTCTCCTGTACCATCTCTAGAAAAGGAGAGGCTGCTCAGGTCAGTGACCTGGGGGAGGAGGGGGAACTTGGCATACATTAATCCTTTTAGGCAGCAAGCAAATGTGCTTCCTTCTCACCATGCTACTCTGCAGGAGGACAGGGCTGGTGCTTCCTGTGTGCCCTTGTACACTGTGCCGAGCCCAGGGCTCAGGACTCACGAGGTGCTCAATGCATTCTAAGAGAATCCCCAAGTCATCAAACAAGATTCTCACAGAGATTCTCATTTTTATAGATGAAGCAGCTGTGGCTCAGAGAGGGGAAGTGACTCACTCAAGGTCACACAGCAGAACTGTGTTTTACATGAGTTGTGTTTTATTCATTTGGGTTTTGTTGTGGTTTGGGTTTTATTGTTGTTCCTTTGTTTTTCAGTGCTGGACTTCAAAACCAGGTCCTCATACAAGCTAGGAAAGTACTCCATTATTGAGCCATACACTCCAGTTCCATGTCTGGAATTCAAACCCAAGTGTATGTTGTACCCCAGAGGCTAGAAACGCCCCCATACCACTGTGCCACCCCCTAAGCCCAAGGAGACAGACTTAGCTCTTTATATAATTGACTTGACTCTGATCTGTACCAGGTTCTGTGTTGGGCCGTGGGGACGAGAGATGAGTCACCCAGCTCCCCACCCAAAGCGCTCACTGCGGTGGAGACAAGTAAACAGATCATACATCGTGGTAGGACAGAGCTGGACAGGCAGGCCAGGGAGGGAGAGGGTCCTGGGCCTAGGGAACTTCCTGCTTCATCCCCCCAGCCTTCACTCAGTGACTCCTTGCGGGGGGTACCCATCCATTTGGGGGTCCCCAGGACTGTGGAGGTAGCACACTTGTTTTTGCAGGCTTTGGTGGGTGTAGGGGCCTCCAGTCCACCCTCTTCCTCACCAGCTGCTTGCCAAGCAAAACCATGGCAACAGCAGTTGCTGTGGAAACTGCAGGAGGGGCTGGAAGGATGGGACTCCCCACTGAAAGTCCTCCCCATGCAGAGATGTGGACCTTCCCTGGAGTTATTCCTTGAGAGGCCTCCCTGTGAGCAGATGCGCCCACCCAGCCCTGTATGCCTGAGGGTGGAGGGCTCTGGAAAGCCACAGAGAGTGTGGGAATCTATGGCCTACCTGAGGAGGTTGATGGCAGCTTAGGGTCTGACCCAAGTCACTGCCACCTCAAGTCCAAGCTATCAGAGGGCCAGGCTCTCCACTCAGCCTTCGTCAGAATCCACGGGGCTGCTTACTAAAAGTGCTGATTCTGGACAATGGTGGCGCATGTCTTTAATACCAGCATGTGGGAAGCAGAGGCAGGCAGATCTCTGATTTTGAGGCTAGCCTGGTCTACACAGAGAAACCTTGTCTTTATATTTTTTTATATTGTATATAAATTGCTGGTTCCTCAATGTGTTGGGTTCAAATCTCCAAGGACAGGTCACTAATCAACAAGACCCTGTGTGAATGTCATGTTTTCTTTCACTATCTGAGTGGTTAAGAGACAGTGCCAGGTAGAGGCCCTGGGTTCAAATCCCACCCATGCCTTTACCTTGCTTGGTGCCCTTGGACTCACTCCTTCACTCAGAGTCTGTACATGCTCATCTGTGGCAGGATGGCATACACTGTTGTTAAAGGG